GGCTGGGATTAATCCGAACAATTCCTCAGAGCACTCCCCATGGTAGATGCGAAAGAAAATGCAAAGAGATGCAACATCTCTTCGCAGTGCCAATAAATCGAGCCGATCGGAAAGGGCTCGGTCGTCGACGATTCGGAGCCGCTCTGCGCTGGATGCGGTCAAGTGGAAGGAGCTGGTACTGGGGAGCCCCTACCCAGAGATGGGAACAGTATTCCATGTGAGGCCGAACCTGCGCCTTGTAAAGTTGCAGGCGGTGTGCTGGCATGAAATACTGTCCCGCTCTGCTGAGCACGCCAAGCTTTTTAGAGGCCAATTTGGCCTTCTCTTCCAAGTGACCACGAAACTGCACGTCATTCGATATGTCGACTCCGAGGATACCGATACTGGCTGAGGCAAGAAGGGGAGTGCCTTGAAACTGAGGAGATACGACAAAGGAGTTCTTTTTAGCGGTAAACGCGCAAACTTGTGTCTTCTGAGGATTAAACTGGACTAGATTTACTCGCCCCCAATCCGAGACTTTGTCCAGCAAAGACTCGACTTCAGACACAAGTTTGTTCCGGTACTCGGCGACGTTTTCCCGAGAAATATTGGCCCGGCCGGTGTATAGAGCATCACCAGTGCTGTCATCCGCATAGCAATGAATGTTACCAGTTAGCAACATATCATTGATATGCAGAAGAAACAGCGTTGGTGATAGCACACAGCCTTGTGGAACACCAGCGTTAATAGGCTTGTAGTCAGAACATGCACCGTCTACAACGACCTTGATGCCCCGATCTGCAAGGAAGCTGGTGATCCAACTGCACAATTTCTCGGGGAGCCCATAGGAAGGGAGCTTCGAAAGAAGCGCTTTGTGCCAAACCTGATCGAAGGCCTTCGCAATGTCCAGACTAACGGCCAACGCCTCCTCTTTCGACTCTACTGCCTCCGCCCATCTATGGGTCAGGTAGACCAGAAGATCACCAGCTGATCGACCCCGACGAAAACCGTATATTTTGATTGTTTTTAATGGTGTAGAGATGTTGTCGCAAATATTTAGAATATTTTTCAGTATTTGTATTAGAGGGTGATCTGTATATACCTAATTTAATATTATTAAAGATTTCTATTTGTAAGCAAGATCCATGCTCTAATTTTATTTTTTTTATTTTAGGTTTAAGGTTATTTTTATAATAAACTGTTACTCCGTCATTTTGGGTAAGATGTTGCATAGTAACAAACGATGTGTAATTTGTAATTTGTGGCAGATGCTTCTTGTTATCAAGCCTGCATTCTGTTAGAATTAACAGATCTACTTCAAAGGTAAGACTAGATAGTGTTAATTGCAAGTTGTCTTAGTTTTTATAAACACTTCTGATGTTCTGCGTGACAACTCTCAAGTCTTTTTTATTCAAACATATGAATTTATTCAAATCTTCAATATCGCAAGATACAGAATTTGCAATTTCGGTATCGTCTATTTCTTTTAACATAATTAAAGGACTATCCGTCATCAAAAATAATGGAACTAATAACACAGAATTTGTATAGATTCTGGTGATGTTTGTTTATGGTTTCCCTAATGTATTTTATCATAATGTAACATAGTAAATATTTTATCGGTACATGGCCAGTTTTATAGGTAGCTGTAATAAAAAATATAGTCTGAGGGTAAGTATTAAAATAGTTACGTGTACGAGTAGTAATAAGTAAAATGTAAGGAAGTGTGTATATTGGGTTGTTCGACAGTTCAAGTGTTTTTTGTGTGATTTTATAATGTGTAAACTTAAGATTAATTTTAAGACATGCAAATAGTAAAATCGAATTACAATACTTATATCCTAGTAACAAACTTAGTAGTATGCAATATATTATATCTAGTCATTCTTTTTGTGATAGTTGTTGTATTTGCCGTTCATCCTTAATGTGATTAATATGGGAGTTTTCATCCTTTTGTACGTAGACTTTCCCATAGGAAGCCCAGCAGAACTTGTAAGATTTGGACTTAACCAGGTCACTTCCAAGGAAATATAAGCGCGATGCTTTGGCAGTCAGAATTTCAGATATAAATACAGGAATATCTTCAGATTTTCGAAAGCCTAGATGTTTTGCACAAATTTTTGATTTGTGTTTAATATTGAATGATTTGTTCATTTTGAGGAAGTCATTTTTTATTAGAGTTAAAAGTCATTTCCACCACAATTGGTATATTTTTCACTCCATCTTTTCTTACTCGCACCCATATATATATATATATATCTTTTATCTCCGCCCTGTTTATTTCACAATCTATATTCTTTGAAAGACAAGTGACCATCTTCAAGTGAAATCTTCTTTCGTCTCATTTCTCTTCTTTCTTTGGTACGTTCTTTACTTCAAAACTTGCTTTTCTCATCCCTTTCTGCATATCTTCTATTTTATCTTCTAGAATAGTTATATATTTTCGATCTTCTTGCGCTTGGATTTCTAATTTTTCAATTTTATTTTTATATTCATCATTCTGTGCAGTGAGGAATGCAATGGAGTTTTCTATGTTCTGGTTAGATTTTTGAATACCCGCAAGTGTTGGTGCTATTTCTTTTAGTTCTTCTCCATGCTTGCTTGTCAAAGAAATTATCATATTTTTCATTTCTTCCTTGAATATGGAAAATTCAATGCTAATATCTTTTTCATGTCTCTTTCTTTTGCTGCGGCTTATGACATTTTTAGTGAAGGAATTAGATTCAGCTTTATTTATTTCTGTCAGGTTTGTTTCCGAGAACGATTTATTCAAACTAGATTCCATAATTTTATGCAAGTAGACAATTAATTATATATTTGATATTTAGTATTGTTGTGAACGCAGCTTTTTCTCTTTACAAAATAGAGTATTTTACGCGTTCGCAATAGAATAATATGAACAAAAGCCGTCTCGAAAGGCGTGTCACGTAGAGTGATGCTTAGCCAATATCAGTACAATGGGCATGTAGTTATTCCAGGATGGTGCAAAGTGGGCTTCAATGATTGGTGTTACAAGTAATTGATAGATGTGACCCACGCGCTGTTTCGGTGTACTAGGCTCGCAGACACGACGGATTTATGTTGCTGGCTCCTCCACGAATATGTTCTCCTATTTTCGCGACATAATTTATTTCGGAGATTATTAATTTATCAAAAAAAATTCAACAATCACGGAGTAGTTAATTAAACGTTTATATTCGACGGCAGGCAGAAGCGAAGAGGATATATGAAAAAAATATATCAAACATAAGCCTAATAACAAAACGTTTATTTAAAGTTTAGTTTTTATTTCAATATTAGCTGTAACCTTTAATATGTGATAGGGCTAAGTTGCAGCTTTATTATGGTTGAGGCACGAATTAACCAGAGAATTAACTCGACTTGACCAGGGAAGGACCACATGCTCACAGAATACTAACTTGAAATTGCACCTTATGGAACTGTGTTTTTTTTTTATAGGAGAGAGGGCGAGAGATGGTATCGGGAGTTCTGCCGCGATGTGTGTTCATGAAATTTGGCGGCTGGGATTAATCCGAACAATTCCTCAGAGCACTCCCCATGGTAGATGCGAAAGAAAATGCAAAGAGATGCAACATCTCTTCGCAGTGCCAATAAATCGAGCCGATCGGAAAGGGCTCGGTCGTCGACGATTCGGAGCCGCTCTGCGCTGGATGCGGTCAAGTGGAAGGAGCTGGTACTGGGGAGCCCCTACCCAGAGATGGGAACAGTATTCCATGTGAGGCCGAACCTGCGCCTTGTAAAGTTGCAGGCGGTGTGCTGGCATGAAATACTGTCCCGCTCTGCTGAGCACGCCAAGCTTTTTAGAGGCCAATTTGGCCTTCTCTTCCAAGTGACCACGAAACTGCACGTCATTCGATATGTCGACTCCGAGGATACCGATACTGGCTGAGGCAAGAAGGGGAGTGCCTTGAAACTGAGGAGATACGACAAAGGAGTTCTTTTTAGCGGTAAACGCGCAAACTTGTGTCTTCTGAGGATTAAACTGGACTAGATTTACTCGCCCCCAATCCGAGACTTTGTCCAGCAAAGACTCGACTTCAGACACAAGTTTGTTCCGGTACTCGGCGACGTTTTCCCGAGAAATATTGGCCCGGCCGGTGTATAGAGCATCACCAGTGCTGTCATCCGCATAGCAATGAATGTTACCAGTTAGCAACATATCATTGATATGCAGAAGAAACAGCGTTGGTGATAGCACACAGCCTTGTGGAACACCAGCGTTAATAGGCTTGTAGTCAGAACATGCACCGTCTACAACGACCTTGATGCCCCGATCTGCAAGGAAGCTGGTGATCCAACTGCACAATTTCTCGGGGAGCCCATAGGAAGGGAGCTTCGAAAGAAGCGCTTTGTGCCAAACCCGATCTAAGGCCTTCGCAATGTCCAGACTAACGGCCAACGCCTCCTCTTTCGACTCTACTGCCTCCGCCCATCTATGGGTCAGGTAGACCAGAAGATCACCAGCTGATCGACCCCGACGAAAACCGTATTGGCGGTCACTAATCAGCTGGTGATCCTCAAGGTACCGGAAGAGCTGGCAGTTAATAATGGATTCCATTATTTTGGAGAACAAGGAGGTGATCGCGATAGGCCTTGTGGTAGCCTAATCCATTATTAACTGCCAGCTCTTCCGGTACCTTGAGGATCACCAGCTGATTAGTGACCGCCAATACGGTTTTCGTCGGGGTCGATCAGCTGGTGATCTTCTGGTCTACCTGACCCATAGATGGGCGGAGGCAGTAGAGTCGAAAGAGGAGGCGTTGGCCGTTAGTCTGGACATTGCGAAGGCCTTAGATCGGGTTTGGCACAAAGCGCTTCTTTCGAAGCTCCCTTCCTATGGGCTCCCCGAGAAATTGTGCAGTTGGATCACCAGCTTCCTTGCAGATCGGGGCATCAAGGTCGTTGTAGACGGTGCATGTTCTGACTACAAGCCTATTAACGCTGGTGTTCCACAAGGCTGTGTGCTATCACCAACGCTGTTTCTTCTGCATATCAATGATATGTTGCTAACTGGTAACATTCATTGCTATGCGGATGACAGCACTGGTGATGCTCTATACACCGGCCGGGCCAATATTTCTCGGGAAAACGTCGCCGAGTACCGGAACAAACTTGTGTCTGAAGTCGAGTCTTTGCTGGACAAAGTCTCGGATTGGGGGCGAATAAATCTAGTCCAGTTTAATCCTCAGAAGACACAAGTTTGCGCGTTTACCGCTAAAAAGAACTCCTTTGTCGTATCTCCTCAGTTTCAAGGCACTCCCCTTCTTGCCTCAGCCAGTATCCGTATCCTCGGAGTCGACATATCGAATGACGTGCAGTTTCGTGGTCACTTGGAAGAGAAGGCCAAATTGGCCTCTAAAAAGCTTGGCGTGCTCAGCAGAGCGGGACAGTATTTCATGCCAGCACACCGCCTGCAACTTTACAAGGCGCAGGTTCGGCCTCACATGGAATACTGTTCCCATCTCTGGATAGGGGCTCCCCAGTACCAGATCCTTCCACTTGACCGCATCCAGCGCAGAGCGGCTCCGAATCGTCGACGACCGAGCCCTTTCCGATCGGCTCGATTTATTGGCACTGCGAAGAGATGTTGCATCTCTTTGCATTTTCTTTCGCATCTACCATGGGGAGTGCTCTGAGGAATTGTTCGGATTAATCCCAGCCGCCAAATTTCATGAACACACATCGCAGCAGAACTCCCGATACCATCTCTCGCCCTCTCTCCTATAAAAAAAAAACACAGTTCCATAAGGTGCAATTTCAAGTTAGTATTCTGTGAGCATGTGGTCCTTCCCTGGTCAAGTCGAGTTAATTCTCTGGTTAATTCGTGCCTCAACCATAATAAAGCTGCAACTTAGCCCTATCACATATTAAAGGTTACAGCTAATATTGAAATAAAAACTAAACTTTAAATAAACGTTTTGTTATTAGGCTTATGTTTGATATATTTTTTTCATATATCCTCTTCGCTTCTGCCTGCCGTCGAATATAAACGTTTAATTAACTACTCCGTGATTGTTGAATTTTTTTTGATAAATTAATAATCTCCGAAATAAATTATGTCGCGAAAATAGGAGAACATATTCGTGGAGGAGCCAGCAACATAAATCCGTCGTGTCTGCGAGCCTAGTACACCGAAACAGCGCGTGGGTCACATCTATCAATTACTTGTAACACCAATCATTGAAGCCCACTTTGCACCATCCTGGAATAACTACATGCCCATTGTACTGATATTGGCTAAGCATCACTCTACGTGACACGCCTTTCGAGACGGCTTTTGTTCATATTATTCTATTGCGAACGCGTAAAATACTCTATTTTGTAAAGAGAAAAAGCTGCGTTCACAACAATACTAAATATCAAATATATAATTAATTGTCTACTTGCATAAAATTATGGAATCTAGTTTGAATAAATCGTTCTCGGAAACAAACCTGACAGAAATAAATAAAGCTGAATCTAATTCCTTCACTAAAAATGTCATAAGCCGCAGCAAAAGAAAGAGACATGAAAAAGATATTAGCATTGAATTTTCCATATTCAAGGAAGAAATGAAAAATATGATAATTTCTTTGACAAGCAAGCATGGAGAAGAACTAAAAGAAATAGCACCAACACTTGCGGGTATTCAAAAATCTAACCAGAACATAGAAAACTCCATTGCATTCCTCACTGCACAGAATGATGAATATAAAAATAAAATTGAAAAATTAGAAATCCAAGCGCAAGAAGATCGAAAATATATAACTATTCTAGAAGATAAAATAGAAGATATGCAGAAAGGGATGAGAAAAGCAAGTTTTGAAGTAAAGAACGTACCAAAGAAAGAAGAGAAATGAGACGAAAGAAGATTTCACTTGAAGATGGTCACTTGTCTTTCAAAGAATATAGATTGTGAAATAAACAGGGCGGAGATAAAAGATATATATATATATATGGGTGCGAGTAAGAAAAGATGGAGTGAAAAATATACCAATTGTGGTGGAAATGACTTTAACTCTAATAAAAAATGACTTCCTCAAAATGAACAAATCATTCAATATTAAACACAAATCAAAAATTTGTGCAAAACATCTAGGCTTTCGAAAATCTGAAGATATTCCTGTATTTATATCTGAAATTCTGACTGCCAAAGCATCGCGCTTATATTTCCTTGGAAGTGACCTGGTTAAGTCCAAATCTTACAAGTTCTGCTGGGCTTCCTATGGGAAAGTCTACGTACAAAAGGATGAAAACTCCCATATTAATCACATTAAGGATGAACGGCAAATACAACAACTATCACAAAAAGAATGACTAGATATAATATATTGCATACTACTAAGTTTGTTACTAGGATATAAGTATTGTAATTCGATTTTACTATTTGCATGTCTTAAAATTAATCTTAAGTTTACACATTATAAAATCACACAAAAAACACTTGAACTGTCGAACAACCCAATATACACACTTCCTTACATTTTGCTTATTACTACTCGTACACGTAACTATTTTAATACTTACCCTCAGACTATATTTTTTATTACAGCTACCTATAAAACTGGCCATGTACCGATAAAATATTTACTATGTTACATTATGATAAAATACATTAGGGAAACCATAAACAAACATCACCAGAATCTATACAAATTCTGTGTTATTAGTTCCATTATTTTTGATGACGGATAGTCCTTTAATTATGTTAAAAGAAATAGACGATACCGAAATTGCAAATTCTGTATCTTGCGATATTGAAGATTTGAATAAATTCATATGTTTGAATAAAAAAGACTTGAGAGTTGTCACGCAGAACATCAGAAGTGTTTATAAAAACTAAGACAACTTGCAATTAACACTATCTAGTCTTACCTTTGAAGTAGATCTGTTAATTCTAACAGAATGCAGGCTTGATAACAAGAAGCATCTGCCACAAATTACAAATTACACATCGTTTGTTACTATGCAACATCTTACCCAAAATGACGGAGTAACAGTTTATTATAAAAATAACCTTAAACCTAAAATAAAAAAAATAAAATTAGAGCATGGATCTTGCTTACAAATAGAAATCTTTAATAATATTAAATTAGGTATATACAGATCACCCTCTAATACAAATACTGAAAAATATTCTAAATATTTGCGACAACATCTCTACACCATTAAAAACATTCAAAATATAATTATTACTGGAGATATCAACATAAATCTTAATCCAAAACCTTATGAACTAAATAGTGAATAAAAAATAGAATTAATTCTCTAGATGTCCTTTCTACTTTCGGCTTGTTACCGGGACATACCATTGCTACCAGAGAAAATAGTTGCCTGGATCATGTTATCCTTAAATTAAATAGGAAGAAGACACAAGCAAATATAGCAGTAATAAATACATCCATCACCGATCACTATATGGTGTTCTTTAGTTTAACTAAAATTAAAGAAATGAAAACTTCTTCGCGAACAAATATATATATATCGATTTTAATAAGGTGGTTAATAGCCTTGCTAATAAAAATTTATCTATTTTACTATTATGCAATGATCCTAATAGAATTGTTGAAATATTAATAAACAAAATTACAGAATCTCTACATGAAAACACTAATACTATCCGTATTCCTAAAAGTAGACGTACCATTAAACCCTGGATGTGTACAGGTGTATTAAGATGCATTCAAAATAGGAATAAAAAGCAAAAACAACGTAAAAACAACCCTTTCGATGAAATTTGGAGAATAACCTCTAAACGATATCGCAATTACTATAACAACTGTATTAAAAAGTTAAAACGTTCATATGAAAGAACACTGTTATTAGAAAAAAAACCCTAAAATGTTATGGAATAATATAAAAAAATATTAGACATACTAAGGAAAATAAAACTACTAATAATGCATTATTAGACATAGAATCAAGCCCTACTCAATCAGTTAATACAGTCAATAATTTTTTCGCAAATATTGGGTGTAAGCTTGCCGATGACATTCAAAAGAACACAGCATACGATCACAATATACATATTGCAGCACACTTAATTAATAACCAGCTCTCATCTTTTGCCATCTTAGATACTGATCCTAATGAAGTTCTTAGCATACTCATGAACTTAAAATCCGATAGCACTCCGAGTTGTGATAAGATAGCCACAAAATTTGTGAAATTGGCCAGTTCTTTATTAGTGCCGATAGTTTGTCACTTGACTAACCTCTGTTTTTCTAAAAGTGTATTTCCAGCCTTCCTTAAACGTTCTATTAATACACCTGTATACAAGAATGGGAGCAGAGATGATATAAATAACTATAGGCCAATTTCCATCTTACCAGCTTTTTCCAAAAGCTTAGAAAAATTAATTAATAATAGATTAATACGGTATTTAGATTTATATATCGGTTCACCAACACAATTTTTTTGAGGTAACACACTTAAAAAAATACCGTAATAACCTCCTACTTTTTTGAAATCGGTTGAAAAAAGACTGCGATTGCAACTCCGCCTGTCCGGCTTGTCAACTTCGACAAATATCGCCCTACCAGGCAATCTATGGGGGAGGCCTATGTTCAGCAGCAGACATTGATAGTTAAATATCATATAAAGATAAATATAATATTCTATCATAAACACAATATGGATTTAGAAGAGGAAAAAACACACAGAACGCTGTCAAAGATCTAACTACATATATTGTTGATCACCTTGACCAAAATAAAAAAAATGTCTTGCTATATTTTTGGACTTAAAAAAGGCATTTGACAGCGTCTCTGTTCCCATGCTTGTTAGGAAGTTGGAAAAGATCGGTATAAGGGAAGCCCAATTAGAATTAATAAGAGATTATTTAAGAAACAGAACGCAAAGCTCTAGAATAGGCAATTATGTCAGTAATCACCTTCAAATAGCCTTTGGGGTGCCTCAAGGTAGTGTACTAGGCCCTACCTTATTTCTCATTTATATTAATGACCTCTGTAAATTAAAACTTGACAATGGTAAGATTTATTCATATGCGGACGATACTGCTATCGTATTCACGGGTAAATCGTGGGATGAAGTCTACGATACAGCCGAATTTGGACTGTCCAAAGTTACGAACTGGCTCGAAATAAACTTGCTTACCCTTAACACGTCTAAGACAAAATATATATATGTCTTTCCATTAACAAACGGTCACAACCCATAACACACAATCTCAAAATACACAACTGTGGTTTGCGTAACAATTGCACGTGTCCTACTATAGAAAAAGTAGCTAGCACTAAATATTTGGGTGTTATAATAGACCAAACATGGCATTTACATATAGA